AACGTTATTTTTAGTGGATGCCCATATTTGAATAGACGATCCGTATATTTTTAACAATATGTTGATTTTCGTCTACAATATTCGAGAAATCTTATTAAAGAAAAAGATACGCCTTCTGCCAGGTTTCGAACCTCCTTTGCAGATATACGCAGTTTCGAATCTAATCGGAAGACGCATATTTTAATAAAAACGTCTCAGATATTCAGGCCGGTAGACGAAAATAAATACATATACTGTTGAATAAACAAATGAAGCGTCTACTAAATTATGGGTATCCACTAAAAATAACGTTTAAAGTGGCAAAAATATATTTATAATTGTTGTAGCATGCCTACGGACAACACTGGGTATGTCCCCTTTCACATAAATACAGTAGTAAATACTGTATGTTGGTCTGCCAGTGAAGATTCGTCTCCAGTTGTACTGGTCAAACTGTCTGCCTCCAGACACAGAGGATCCCCAGACGAGTCTATGTCGAAGGGCAGAATCTCATATCGGGAAACAGTTACCAGACCCTGTTTTATACGGGTTCTACGGGGAAATTTTGGCCGAGCCTACGGGCTCGGATACCCCACATTAAATTCGGCCTTGTACCACATCTGACTGCGTGGGGCGGTTGATAGATATCCTGCACTTGGAGATTCATTGTGGAATTCACTTGACTCACTTCTAGCAGCTGACTGGTTCTTCTCCGTGCCGCTGGCGAATCTTATATGTGTTGTTCTTTTTCTAAGTATTATTGTTCCTTACCAACCTTCGTGTGATTATTCTCTTCAGTAACCTTCCCTAGGTTATAACAATAATCATCTTTTATCTACATACATGTGTGTGTGTGTGTGTGCGCGCGCGCGCATCCGTTTCATTATTTATTTCCTATCGAGGGAATTCTTTAGTCAATTCTGATGTTGAATGGCAGGAAATCTCATGGAATTGCCAGCTCCTACTTAAACGCTCTCAACAATTTCACCATTTGTGTAATCTGATATTTTGGATGGAGATTCTTCTTAATCCTCCAAGATGACATAATCCCATCAGAATGTAGACTATCACTTCTTTCTACATCTTCCCGTACTTCAATATTTGTGAATTTCCATGACTTCCCCTGTGAAGTGGTTTCGCCTTGCCTTCTCCACATTTTCTTTATTTTTTTTTTTTTTGCATTCAGCGTAGTCTTTATCCTAGATTGGCTCCCAGCCAAGGCTATAGAGCACTCTCTAAACTTGTGTTCAATCCATGAATAGCATGAGTAAAGATATATGGCATAACTTTCCCAAACACACATTTATTTTATTAGGTTGGTGCAAAAATAATGACGTAATAATGTCGTTTTTGACGTGTTTTTTAACGTCAAAAACGTCATTCTTACGTCATTATTTTTGCACCAACCTAATATTTATTTAAATTGTCCATCTCAGTAGCCTATGGTACTTCATGCTGACAGTATCTTTGATGGATTTGCTTATTTAACGGCATATCAACTCCTTGTGAGTCATTTTATGCTGAAATTTAATATTTTTAGAGCTTTGAATTAATAAAAATATGATATAGATTATTCTGCTTTCACAATTGGATACATGGTAGACGATACTCAGATTTTGTGCATATACATGTTTGTGTGGACATGATTACTAGTGGACGTGATATGTGTGTATTTTATGCTGTAGTTTTGTTGAAGTAATATTTTGGAATAACGTTTCATTTAAGAAACTGTAGAATATTATATTGACTAATGTCATAAAAGTTCTTTTATTTTGATTGTTCGGTTGATTGATTGATTGATTGATTGATTTGGCGTTATAGCAACCTATATTTCATATTTAATGCCGAAATCTAAATATTTTGTACATAATTTTATGCTTTCAACTGCAGGTATTTTGTACATCATTTTATGCCTTCAGAGTAAAGATATGTTCCATAGATTCAAAAAGGTATATTTTGTAGAGCATAAAATACATTGTTGGAAATTTTACTATAAAAATGTATTTTTATACTTTTTTAGTCATTCATTGATTGTCATTTTGCAATAAAAATGTATTGTTGTTCATTTTATATATAAAGTACAGTGGATGTGCGTTTGTTTGTGCGCGCGCACGTGCGTGTGTGTGTATCCAAGCAACTTCTCAGCTCCCGCTGGCTCGATTTCACTGATTCATAGCTTATTCAAAAGCCCTAGAAAAGTTAAGTGCAGGGGACGATTTTCGTTGACCTCAGATTCAGGATTAGCAGATTATGTGATGTTAAATATATATATTAATATATTATACTAGCCATTATCATTGTTTTCATGGTTCAAAGGGTGTAACTCTTAAATTTCCTTATGTATCCAAAATTGAAGCTAGCTTAAAATTTAAGCTAGTTCCTGTAGAGGACTCTTGGCCTGGCCATCATCACAGTAGCTAGGGAGGAGTAGATGCGATAGGCATCAATAAACTACAGAAGAACTCAAAATTGATAGCTGCATTTAAGTATTAATGTTTAAGCTTACCTTTTAAAAGTTCAACGATAATTCATCTGCTGACGATTTATGTACGTAGATCTTTATTTTTCGTACAATTAATTATTTTTATTTCATGGGTGACAGAACAAGGGATAATTTATACGATAAAATTAATATAGTGTAAAGATGGGAAAATAGAAACTAGAATTAGTTACAAATTCAACATTTGAAGCGTTAGAGAAACATAATAACTAATTAAGTAAAACTTATATTATGGAATCTATATGAATAAATGCGAAATTGGGGATCATTTCTCCCACGAATTCTGAGATTTAAAAAGCTCATTAAAAGCGCATATCCGTATCATATGTTATATACGTCTAGGTAATATCACTCTTCAGGTTTAACTAATTTGCATATTGATTTTAAAAAGTCTATTTCATTAATTAACTGTCCGCCATTACTGTTCTTTAGTTCGAGGATTGTTTTGATTTTCATCTCAAAAATAGAACGTTTAGGAATATCGTCTTATATAGGACAGAAAAGTGTTTGAAATTTGCATTTTACTTGGCCTTCAACATCACTATCTATTTGCAAAACTTTCCTTAACTATAACAAGAAAATTTATGAATGAAATTTATGAATGAAATTTATGAATGAAATTTTTGTTTCAAAAATTTCAAGTAATGAAGCCTGCTATTTTTATTATAAAAATATATTGATGATTTTTATTTGGGGGTTTACTATTTGCCCATAGTTGTGACCCTAACAGTTCATACCACCCCTCGTCAGGGTTAGGGTTAAGGTTAACCCTAACCCAACAGCAATTAAGTGGTGATTTCACGCTCCCCAAAACCTCCAATCTTCCGATCACAGGCCGTGACGTCGGATGTAGTTTATCGTCATATCCAGGATGATGGCAGCATTTTACCTGACTATATGTGGTTTGATTTCAAAAATGAAACTATCCATAAACCAAAGGTATTAATAATAATAATAATAATAATAATATCCTATCACTGTCACATAATCAAGGATGGAACTAAACCTAAATGCAGGATATGTGGAAAATATAATGAATCTGTCGACCATATTGTCTCAGGATGTCCGGAAGTGGCAGAAAAATGAATATACTCAGAAATATAACAAGGTAGCAACATATGTGCTCTGGAAGATATGCAAGAAGCATCGATTCCACCGAGAGATGGTATGACCACCAACCAGACACAGTTACCCAAAATAACGATGTAACTATCCTCTGGGACATGTCAATTCAAACTGACAGGGAAATTAAAGCCAACAGACCGGATATTATCATAAAAGACAAAGAATTCAGGATGTGTGTGCTTATTGACATAGCTGTAGCATCTGAGAGAAACAGCTCGATGAAAATTATTGAGAAATTGTTCAGATAAAAGCACCTAGAGATCGAGATAAAAAAAAAGATGTGAGGAATGAAGACTAAGGCGGTACCAATAATAATTGGAGTACTGGGTTTCGTGAGAAAAGGAATGGACAATTTTACTAACAGTCTCCCAGGTAACATCAATATACAACTTGCCCAGAAAATTGCTCTACTAGGAAAATCCCATATACTAAGAAAAGTTCTATCAATTAAATGACAATTCTTCAATCGGGAAAGGATCATAGTTTGGACCCGACTCTACAGGATACAAAGCAGGAAACATAACACACAAATAATAATAATTTGATTTTCTGTTTGAATTAATCATTTATCATGTCTTTCACCTGAGAGCAATTTTTTCCTTCGTGTTAATGAAAGAGATGTTCTACGACTTATGAATTGTATTCCCTAAAACATTTTTTTTTATAAAAAAAAGATGGATTCTTTGGAATTTTCTTAGTATGCCTATCCGCACCCATTAAGTCTTTTATCGTGATCCGACAACTACTGGAATAATTGTAATACCATATTCCTTTAATTTCGATTTCCAAATCACTATCTTTGGAGAATTTACCAAATTCTTTTGCAAAAAAGTTAATTTTTTTTTTATATGTCACCTCTCGCCTGTGGAACACCCTTCCCAATTACTGTTTCCCTGAGAGCTATAATCTCCAACTATTCAAATGGAATATCAATCGACATCTCCAGTTACCTTGATCTATCCACTATCCTTCTCCTCATCCTTTCTTCTATCACTCCTATCTGATCTCGCTCCAAATCTTCTGCAACCCCCTGCATCCTAGTGGCTTCACGCCTTGCTCGGGGCGTAATGCTTAAAAAAAAAAAAGATAAAAAAATCCTTCCAATTCCTTAAACTCATATTTGACAATATCCAGTCAATTATACCAGCCCGTATAGTGCTTTCAATGTGTGTGGTGACGTTCTAGAATAAAGTAACTCCATTTAATTCTCAAATGTTTATTGTTCTTGTACATTCTATTTTTATATTGTTAGTATTAATATTGTTATTCTGGTTTTCGCTGATGTTTGATTGCGTCTTTTGGGTGTAACGCGTGGAACTTTGCGAAGAAATAGTTGTGTTTTTTTTTTTTTTTATATCTGAGACCTAACCTGACACTAAGTCAAACGAAACGCATCATGCCAACTACTTCCATCACCGACATTCAAACTTGTACTATTGTCAGAGCGATGGCGACGACTGTAATTAGATCGTGTTTTATATTCTCAGTTGAGAAAAGAATTCAGATCGTCAGCAATCAATCATAACATACATCTATCTATCTATCTATCTATCTATCTATCTATCTATCTCTGTTCATATGTAACTATCTATCTATACATTTCTGTTCATATGTATCTATCTATCTATTTATCTATCTGTCGCAGTCTGATTAAATGAACTTATCTATCTAGCTACCTAGCTAGCTATTTGTCGTAGTCAGTCTCTCTGTTGGGGTCTATTCAAATTTATCTATCAGTCTGTATGTATGTCTGTCTATCTGTTGTAGTCTGTTCAGTCTATCTATCTATATGTCTGTCTGTCTGTCTATCTGTCACATTCTGTTTATATTTATCTATCTCTCACAGTCTATTTAAACTTATCTATCTATCTTACTATGTGTCTATCAATTTATCTGTCGCAGTTTTGTTTAAATGGATCTATCTAGCTAGCTAGCTAGCTATCTGTCGTAGTCTGTCTGTGCCTCCGTTGTAGTCTGTCTGTTGCGGTCTGTTCAGATTTCAGTTCAAACTTATGTCACTGTCTATTTAGACTCATCTATCTATCTATCTATCTATCTATCTATCTATCTATCTATCTATCTATGCGTGTCTGTCTGTCTGTCGCAGTCTGTTCAAATGTATCTATCTAGCTAGCTATCTGTGGTAGTCTATCTGTGTCACGGTTGCAGTCTGTCTGTTTACGGTCTGTTCAAATCTCTGTATGCCTCTCTGTCTATCTGTCGCAGGCTGATAAAATCTATCTATCTATCTATCTATCTGTCTATCTATCTATCTATCTATCTATCTATCTATCTGTCTGTCTCAGTCATGTTCATATCTATCTATCTCAGTCATGTTCATATCTATCTATCTATCTATCTATCTATCTATCTATCTATCTATCTATCTATCTCAGTCATGTTCATATCTATCTATCTATCTATCTATCTATCTATCTATCTATCTATCTATCTATCTCAGTCATGTTCATATCTATCTATCTCAGTCATGTTCATATCTATCTATCTATCTATCTATCTATCTGTCACAGTCTATTTAAACTTATCTATCTATATAATAACCTCTGGTCTCACTTGCTGGACTAAAAGTAAAACGTAACAATTCAAGTTTTCCGCTATATTTAGTTGTTATTGTGACATTCTTTAAACTACAGGCAAGCCTTTTGCATTTCGGAGACACAGACTACATAAGCGCTTCGCTTCACAGCATTTATACTATTTGCCTGTCAAATCTACAGCATTCACGTAGCCCGCTTACATGAACAGGATTTTACTGCCAACCGAGAGATATATAAATCAGACAATCCATAATTTATCCCTTCAATCTATTTCAGTCTTTCCTACTTATTTATTTCCTCTCTCCTTCCTATGCATTATTTGTTCTATCTCTCTATATATATCACTCTCTCTATCTCACTCTCTCTCTCTCGCACTATCTATATATCTATCTATCTATCTATCTATCTATGCAAAAACATCTGGGTCTTATACAGCCAGATATGTAGCTTAATGATAGAGAAATTTATGTGAATGTTTTTTGTATGTATATCAATATCGATCTATTTATTAACCATCTCTCTCTTTCTATCTATCTATCTATCTATCTATCTATCTATCTATGTGTATGTGTATATAATATATATATGAGTGTGTGTGATTATAAACTTATCTATCTATCTATCTATCTATCTATCTATCTATGTTAGGAATTTCATCTCAAACTGTTCATATGCTGTTCTGATCTATCTATCTCTCTCTCTCTCTCTTTCTCTCTCTCTCTCTATGTTAGTTATTTCATCTCAGACTGTTCATATGCTGTTCTAATCCGTCTCTCTCTCCATCTATCTATCTATCTATCTATCTATCTATCTATCTATCTATCTATCTATCTATCGATATATACATATGTGTGTGTGTTAGCCATTTCATGTCAGACTGTTAATATGCTGTTCTAATCTATCTGTCTCTCTATCTCTCTCTCTCTATCCATCTATCTATCTATCTATCTATCTATCTATCTATCTATATATATATATATATATATATATATATATATATATATATATGAAATATAATATAGCCCACAGTAAGTGTTAGTGGTAAAAATAAAATAGTATTCGATGTAAAATAACAGACATGCTACAAAGGTCAGATTTAATTAGTGCCTGATGATTGCTCCGTGTATGTGCTGCATCGATCGATGAGAAACAAATGCAGATCTATCTATCTATCTATCTATCTATCTATCTATCTATATATATATATATATATATATATATATATATATATATATATCAGTCAACACATAGAAAATGTTATGACTCACGCTTCATTGTAATCTTTAAAGCGATTCTCTGCTTTCAGTCCCTTTTTGAAACCTAATATTTACTCAGATGTTCCCTTCTCATCTGTCCTCCCTTCAATTACAACATATGTTTATTTGTTGCATCTACGATATCCATGGGCCATGGTAAATAACAATCAGTAGGCAGGGTTAGGGGTTTTCTCTTTAGATCTATTTACTTACACCTTGCACCCCCACTTATTCTCTCGTGTTGTCTGTCTAAAATGAAAATGCCGACTGAAATATAGAGATAATTCCTCGTTTTGGCATCTCGTTCGAATCCATTCAAATTCATTTTCCAAACTCAGAATACCATATCAAGCAAATTCTTTTTAAGAATTTGATCGAGACGCAGTTTATTTACAAGGAGAGACCCTTCTTTATAAATATCGAATGTGTGTAAATATTTATACCTACTTATGCGTAGCTAGATAGACAAATAGTTATAACGAGAGTATCTTATACAATCAGATAGATAGATAGATAGATAGATAGATAGATAGATAGATAGATAGATAGATAGATAAAAAAGAAAGAAAGAAACGAAACGAGAGGGAACGGGTAGCTAAATAGCTAGATATAAACAGGATGAGACAGACTTATAGATAGATAGATAGATAGATAGATAGATAGATAGATAGATAGATAGAAAAATGAAAGAAAGAAAGAAACGAAAGGGAACGGGTAGCTAAATAGCTAGATATAAACAGGATGAGACAGACTTATAGATAGATAGATAGATAGATAGATAGATAGATAGATAGATAGATAGATAGATAAAAAAGAAAGAAAGAAAGAAAGACAGAAACGAAAGGGAACGGGTAGCTAAATAGCTAGATATAAACAGGATGAGACAGACTTATAGATAGATAGATAGATAGATAGATAGATAGATAGATAGATAGAATTAGACAAGTAGATATATAATTAGATATACGCATATAGAAAGAAAGGTAGCTAAATAGATATAAACAGCATGAGGCAGACTGATATACATGCGATAGATAGATCGATAGATAGATAGATAGATAGATAGATAGATAGATAGATAGATAGATAGATAGATAGGTGTACCGAGTATCAGTAGAGAACAAAAAAATAAACGACTTAAGTTCAAATTTCAATTGAAGCTGCTTATGATGCCTTCGAAATAACCTATTTGACTAAGGCATGATCCAATCTCCCTGTCCTCTCTCCTGTCTCCTTGACAATGCTTGATGGAAAACTGATAAACAGTTCATCCATTTCCACTGTGCCTGTTCGCCAATTATCACTGAGAGCGGTTACCTCCATTTACAACCTTTACAATATTAATCAAGAACGATAGCACAATTGAATTTCGTAACGCACAAGTACTTACGTCTATACAACATTATGATAGTGTGTTGTATAAGATAGAGTAATGGCTAACAAGCTTGAACCTTGTGTCAATGTATGATAATCTTATCTTCACAGGTATCTTAAATTCGAGTAAGCAGTAACGATTTATTTCGTCTATAGTTTCATCATTATTTATTCAGTTAGCGTGGTCACTAATCTTCTCCAGGCGACATTCGAGGCAAAACAGTGCAATGGTTGGCCGGTGCCTTTTTCATCCAGGATGTTGAGGTGACCCTGTTCCTCTTCTCAATAGTTAAAGAGACAGGACGTACAAGGCAGCAGATGGTTTGAATTCAGGGTTTTTCCTTCTCCTGGATTGGTTGCCATCTAAGGCTATAGGGTCCTGTCTCTCCTGCTATTTACCCATAGCTGGTTGGGAGAGATGGATTCATACCATTCCCAAGGTAAATGCAATGAGCTCGATTGGTATTCGAACACGTCTCTCCTATTCCTTAATCCGAGCCTCCACTGGGCTTCGATAATTTAGTTCCGCAATCAAGCAAAGATATAAAAACAAAGACACAGTGAATGAAACAAAAGATGAACGTACACGAAACATTGTCAATATTTTGCTAAAAATTACACCACGGTGTGGAGTCCTTCATATTAGGTGAAACTTGTAATCGCAGCGGAAGGACTTTATATAATTCTGGATTATATTTCTCATCTAACCTTGGTGTTTTTTATTTTTATTTTTTATTTTTTTGGTATTATATTTCTTTATCTGGATCTTGGAGCAATTTGTGTCTTTTTTTTTTTAAAGTTGAGGTACCTTACTTATATGGTACCTTTTAGTATTTTTCTTTTGCTTAGGCGTAGTTTTTAGGTAATTATTACTGAGTAGTTGGTTCGATCCTCACTGAGAATCCAATATTTTTCCGCTTGCATTAAGATCAGAAAATAACAAGAACGACTTTTTTTTTATCTGGTAATAAAGAGCTTGTCTAGCTGATTATTCCTGCCGTGCTATGAGATCGATTCACTCGGAGTGTTCTACACTTTCAACCTTGTGCTAGATTAAACTTACTGTACCTTTTTTCTGTCTTCTTTATTTTTCACTTTCTTCACCGTCTTCTTCCGCCCTAGTAGCCATGATAGAAATCGTTGTAAAATAGCAGCAAAACTAAAAAAGTGATATTTACACGTTTTTCCCTACTTTTAATATTAAATTTCCGCTTTTGCTTTCTTCATATCAAATATTGTTTTGTATAAAGCATGTAACACTCGCTCTAGCCATTGTCCTTTCTTCTTATTGTCATTCTTTATACAATTGTGGTAATAATCACTCACCGTTATCTCTAGACGTAATTTGTATTAAATGCTACATTTGCAGCTCAGACGGCAGTTAGTAGAAGTACTACTACTACTACTACTAACGCTTCTACTATCAGTCAAGAGGGCAACCATTCCTTTTAGAAGAGGACATCCACTTTCAGCAATTGTGAGGATAATAACAAATCTATTAATTCTCCAACGTCTTCCCAAATCTTATGAGACTTTCTCGGTTGTTGAGTTATTACTGTTAAAGCGTTTCTACGCTTTTCCTATCAATATCCGTGAAAGGTGAGGCGTATGGGTGTTTTAACGATCGATAGATATTCAATAAACGTTGTGCTAACATTCTTCTCCCGTGTCCCTTCAGGATACAGCGTTCATGGCTCTCCACAACTTCCTTACATTGTGGCTCTCACCAGTTTTAAAAAATGTGCCCCAGTGAAGAAAAAGGATAGGAATATTTTGCTCGACTTGCTTGCTAAATATTACACATGGCTGAGACCCCGAACACACACACACACACACACACACACACACACACACACACATATATATATATATATATATATGAAGGGGTTCCTCGACTTACGTGAGAGATCCGTTCCTACGGTGCGACACAACGTTGATTTTTTTGGACATTAGTCGGAGCTCACCTAGAAAATCACCCACGACTCTGCCTTCCGCTTGGGAGCCATAATGAAGGACAGAAAGTTTTTTTTTCAAATACGGCACAAACGAGAGATAAGCGATTGTAGCAGAGTCGGCGAAGAAACAACGCCGTCTTCCTCATATAGCGCCGCGTGACGACGTATTATATTTTAGGGAAACGGCGCCGTAACCACGAAACGCCGTAAGTCAGTAACGACGTAACCCGAGGACCTTCTGTATATTGTGATGATAGCATAAATGTGGCACAAGGATGAAAGTATGGCGTACCCAGTGAGGATCGAATTCACTATTCGGACATAAGTGACCTTGCTAGACAACCATTACACTAAACCAATTATATACAACGAACTGCTTTCCATCGGAATCAAATTTTATAAAATTTTAAGAATACGTTTTGAAAGCGTCGCCCATTTGACGACAACGTGACCACGCTCAAACGGAAAGCTGATCACTTAAAATTTTCTTTCATCTGTTTTGGATAAGACTTGTTTTTTATGTCCATCGTTTTCGTCGAGTTATACTGATTATGTTAATTGTATTGTATTTTTAATGAATATTGTCCTGAAGAAGGTTATTAAACCGAAACGTCAGACGTCGACATTTCATTCATATTAAAACAACATAATCACATTCTAAGGATTTTGTTTGTTTTTCCAGATATTTTTTCATATATATATATATATATATATATATATATATATATATATATATATATATATATATATTAGAAACAAATAGGAAAGCTTTTAGAAATTTTACGTCTTGCCATTTTGTTTTAAATTCATCAATCAGATTTCTGCCTATCTATCTATCTATCTATCTATCTATCTATCTATCTATCTCAGCCAGTTCATATATATGTTTGTTCATGTCTATGTATATAAGTCTGTTCATATCTATCTTTTTATCTATCTTGTCAAAATCTGTTATACATTTGCAGACGAATTTAAACTTAATACTCTGCTTTCAACTGACAGGATTCTTTATATTTGCCGCGAAGCCAATAAATAAACCAAAAAACCTATTTCCTTGCCATACTGTTGCAAAAATTAGTCACCCACGCACACAGACACCACGAGAGATACACAGAATACCCACAAGAATTAAGACACACATACAAATTCGACAAAAAGAACACGTGATATCTAGCCAACCAATGAAAACAAACAATCTCGAATTCAAAATATCGAAATATCTCCGTGCTGCTTAATTCCCCACAAAAAAATTCGGATTTAGATTTTTTTCTTTTGTTCACCAAATACAAGACCAAAGAGCCACTCGAGGTAGAGGCTTCCTTTGTGGTGTTGTATAAACGCAAGAAAAGCCAAGAAGCGAAGTTCTTAGCGCTATACAGATAACGGCTAACTCTAGACATGAAGAGGTCAACATCTAATTAGTAAATAGCAGTTCAGAGTTCAGACGGAGACGTTAGAAGTATCGCGTAGAAGTAGATTTCAGAAAGAAACGGATACCAATACTAAGCAGGAAGCACGGAATAAACCTCTAATCCTGTTCACAAAACCAGGGAGATAAAATAAATCTCGAAATATGTCAGGTTTTCCTACTTGTCCCTTATTTAATCATTTTGTCGGATCTAGTCCAAATAAAGGGTGTTTCATTAAGACAGATTATATATATAAGAGTGTTTCATTAAGAGGGATCAAAGGCAGCAGTAAATAAATCAGTGTTATTGGTGAAAATTTATTTATTTCTCTATTGGATCATGTTATTTAAATCGACAATTATGTGTGGAAAATAATATCACCCAAATGTCCGCCAAATCTGAAAGAAAAAGAAAAAAATCATTAGACGCTTAAACTTAATTCAAATTGAAAAAGGTCCATGTCATTGGAACACCTTTTTATATATATATATATATATATATATATATATATATATATATGAAAAATTTCTCAGAATTAACCTCTAGAAAAACACTGTATTTATAAACGTAAAAGACAGTAGGAAAACTGTAATGTGGACTTTTTCAAGTTAAAAACGAAATATTATCGAAATATTAATCTACTAATATTAATCTATTAATCTTTATCTATCTCACCTTTCGTAACAGAATTACTACTCTCCCAAACAAGCGTACACAACAGCGTCAAGAAATCAGAACAAAATGGTTGAATCCGTCAACACAGCAATAAAAACAATATTCTCCACATGTAACAATACTTGACGTAATTTTCAGTTGACGATATGAATATAATACCGTTTTCTAAATTCTGTTTCGTTAGTTACTTTGTTTTAATAAATGTGTTTCGTTCTTGCCTTGAAAAAATCCCCATTGAACGAAACGCGTCAGTTAATATTACAGTTTACTATTGCCTTTCACGCACACACACACACATATATACATATATAAAGTCATCCACAGACAGACTGTTTCGTTGTTTCACAGCTCTTCAGTGTGGGTAGACATCCGGTTGCCTCTAGCTAAGGTCGAAACCCGACTGAATTGGTGTCAGTCAGAGATTCTACCACTAAGCCGTCGGCGCACGGCAGGGATGGATTTTTTAGCGTATTTATTTTTAGATAAACACACGCAGTAACCGACAGTGACTCAATTCGCTTTTGCCGAAGAGTCTCGCTATATCAGCCATAATAGTCACTGTTTACAAACCCACACCTCTTCCCCAGAGAGCTCAACTGAAATTAATTTTTCAGGAGCCAATATATATATATATATACATATATATATATATATAAATTATTGATTTAAAATATGGTTATTTTTCGCTACACAGTTCCAACCATGTTTCAAAAATAAGCTAAAAACCCTAATTTTATTTTTTTGCAAATAAATTAAAAGCAAAAATAAAATTAGGGTTTTTAGCTTTATTTTGAAACATGGTTGGAACTGTGTAGCGAAAATAACCATATTTTAAATCAATTAATTTATAATATTAATGCTCTGTAAATTTACATTGAGCACTATTTTGTAAAATAAAATATCTATAAGA